CTCCAGGTGCTGGTGACTCTGCTGCCCCAGGTGCTGGTGAGTCTGCTCTCTCAGATACCACATCGGCTCAGGCTTTACACACCTTCACCCTTGACTTGGGTGCTTCCCGCTCCTTCTTTCGAGACCGCACCACACTCACGCCGCTTAGTCGGCCGGTTGCAGTCTCCCTGGCAGACCCCTCTGGGGGTCCTGTCCTTGCCCACTTCCCCACTGTCTTACCGTGTCCGGCAGCCCCTTCTGGCACCCTGTCAGGTCTTTACCCCCCCTCGTTCTCTACGAACTTGGTGAGTGGTGCTGTCCTACAGGATGGGGGGGTTGACCAGTTCACTCCTGCGAGTCAGCGAGTGACCCACTGCACGTGTGCTCGGACGGGCCGACACTTGGCCACGTTTACCCGTCAGCCGGAGTCGAGCCTGTACACACTGACTACTGAGTCTCCTCCGGTTGCTGCGTCTGGTCAGGTAGCTGCGTCGGGTCAGGTGTTTGCTGCAGCGTCCAGGTCTGGTCCTGAGTCTGCCCCCTGCTCGTGTCGTCTCCTGTCTCACCAGACTCTCCTCTGGCACCACCGCCTTGGTCACCCCTCCCTGCCTCGTCTCCGAGGCATGGCCTCCCGTATCCTTGTCTCTGGTCTCCCCCGGTCCCTCCCTCCTCTTCCTCCGGGGCCTGCCCCTACCTGCGTTCCTTGCGTCGAGGGGCGGCAGCGCGCCGCTCCTCACTCCTCCGATTTTCCTCCGACAGAGGCTCAGCTGCAGACACTTCACCTGGACGTGTGGGGCCCCGCCCGCGTCCGTGGACAGGGTCACGAGCGTTACTTCCTGCTGGTAGTTGACGACTACTCGCGTTACACCACAGTCTTCCCCTTGCGCAGCAACGGTGAGGTCACTGAGGTGTTGATCGACTGGATCCGCGCAGCTCGTCTCCAGCTCAGAGAGAGTTTCGGCTCGGACTTTCCTGTTCTGCGTCTGCACTCCGACAGAGGCGGAGAGTTTTCCTCTGACCTTCTGCGAGCCTTCTCTCGTGCACGGGGCATCCGCCAGACGTGCACGCTTCCGGCCTCTCCACAGCAAAATGGGATTGCTGAGCGCCGCATTGGCATGGTCATGGACGTCGCTCGTACGTCCATGATCCATGCGGTTGCTCCCCATTTTCTGTGGCCGTTCGCGGTTCAGTACGCGGCGCATCAGATCAACCTTCAGCCCCGGGTCTCCTTGCCGGAGACCTCCCCTACTCTGCGGTGGACGGGGAAGGTTGGCGATGCGTCTGCGTTTCGTCTCTGGGGATCTCGGGCTTTTGTCCGCGACTTGTCTGAGGACAAGCTGTCCCCCCGTGCTGTTCTCTACGTCTTCCTTGGCTTCCCCCCTGACGCGCCTGGTTGGCAGTTTTACCACCCCACCTCGCGCCGTGTTCTGTCCTCCCAGTCACGTTTGACGAGTTGGTTCCTTACTACCGTCTCTTCCCCTACCGCACTGCACCCCTTCCCCCGACGCCGCTCTTCCTCGCTCCAGGTCCCCCCCGGTAGACCCCCTTCCCCCTCAGGGTCCTGCCCCCTCAGGTGTGTCTCAGGTAGACGCAGTCGAGCCTGTCGAGGTAGCTGTTGACTCTGGTGCTGCTAGGGGTGCTAAGCCTGCGGGTTCGGGGTCTAGGGGTGCTGAGCCTGGGGGTGCTGAGCCTGAGTGTGTGGAGCCTGGAGGTGCTGAGCCTGGGGGTGCTGCGTCTGGGGGTGCTGAGCCTGGGGTTGCGGCGACTGGAGGTGTGGAGCCTGAGGGTGCTGGGCTTGCTCGTGTGAAGTCTGGCGGTACTGGGTTTGGAGGTCCTTCGGGTGCTTCGTCCCGGCGGGAGCTACCCTCTCCACAGGAGCAGTGCGAGTGGTTTGCTCGGCGCTGGAGCCGTGCTGCTGGAGCTGGAGGTGCTGCTGGAGCTGGAGGTTCTAGTGCTGCTGACGGTACTGGTGCCACGGGTCCCGGAGGTGCTCGTACTGGAGGTACTGGAGCTGCTGGGCCTGGGGGTGCTCCTTGTGCTGGAGCTGCTGGCGGTGCTGGAGCTGGCGGTGCTGCTGGGGTAGGTGCTGCTGGAGCTGGAGCTGTTGAGTCTTCCGGTGGTTCAGCTGGCGCTGGAGCTGCTGGGGGTGTTGGCGCTGTAGGTGCTGCTGGCGCTGGTGCTTCTGAGGGTGCTGGAGTTGGCGCTGCTGGAACTGGGGGTGCTACTGGCGCTGGTGCTGCCGCAGGGGGTGCTGGTGCTGTACCTGCTGGTTCTGGAGGCGCTGCACGGCCGCGGCCGTACTTTGTTCCGCTCCTTGAGCAGGTTCTTGGTCTCCCGCCTTCTGCTGGTCCTGCTCCTTCCTTAGAGTGTCCACCGCCTGTCCAGTCTGAGTCACTGTTACAGCCCGCCTCCCCACTGCCTGCTCCTTCTCCCTACACTGGTCCTACTGGAGGTCTTGCTGAGCGTCGTGAGCCTGCGTCTCGTCCTGTGTCGCCTGTTCGTGCTACTCGCACTAGTTGTCGTGTTCCGCGTCAGCGTCCTCCTGCGGTCCCAGGCACGCACCAGATGGCACTGCGTCCTTCCACTGCTCCGCTGCGTGTCCCTTTGCCGTCTCCTCCAGAGTCCTCTCTTCCTGCTCTTGCTGACCCGGATTCTGACACTCTTCGTGCTCGCAGTCCTACTGTCACGCGTCTTCTGGCTACTGTTGTCACTGACCCTTCCTTTGAGTCCACTGCTGCGTCTGCCCTAGTTACTGAGCTTGTCGACTTCGCTGCTCGCTGTCGTCTAGACTACGCTGCTAGTCTTGTTGCTGAGTCTGAGTCTGTCTGTCCTCCGTCCGTCGGAGGTGAGTGTGCTCTTAGCACGGACGTCCTTGAGGACAAGCAGCAGGAGTTCCAGTGTTTTGCTGCTGCTTTACCTCATCTCGTGTCCATGCTGATTGCCCCTGAGGGAGACCCGGATGCACCAGACATCCCGACTCCGCGCTCTTACGCAGAGGCGATAGAGGGTCCCTACTCCTCTCAGTGGCAGTCAGCCATGGACGCAGAGATGGCTTCCTGGAAGTCCACAGGCACCTACGTCGACGAGGTTCCCCCACCTGGGGCGAACATCGTCAGTGGCATGTGGATTTTCAGTGTGAAGCGGCCGCCGGGTTCTCCGCCTGTCTTCAAGGCACGTTACGTGGCTCGAGGCTTCAGTCAGCGGCAGGGAGTTGACTACTTTCAGACCTTCTCTCCCACCCCGAAGATGACCACTCTTCGGGTGCTGCTGCACATAGCCGCTCAGCGCGACTACGAGCTTCACTCTCTTGACTTCAGCATTGCTTTCCTACAGGGCAACCTGCACGAGGAGATCTGGCTGCGCTGCCCACCTGGCTTCACTGGGTCGTTTCCTCCTAGTACCCAGTGGAGCCTCCGGCGGCTAGTCTACGGTCTCCGCTAGGCGCCCCGTGAGTGGCACGACACACTGAGGACTACACTTGCGGCTCTTGGGTTTGCTCCTTCTACTTTGCGGCTCTTGGGTTTGCTCCTTCTACTGCCGACCCGTCGCTGTTTCTACGCACCGACACCTCTTTGCCGCCGTTCTACATCTTCGTGTACGTCGACGACTTGGTCTTTGCCACTGCTGACATTGCTGGACTCGCCCACGTGAAGTCCGAGCTGCAGAAGAGACACACGTGCACAGACCTGGGTGAACTGCGCAGCTACCTTGGCTTGCAGATCACCCGGGACAGAGCACAGCGCACCATTACCCTAACTCAGTCACACATGGTGCAGCAGGTCCTTCAGCGCTTCGACTTCACGTACTCCTCGCCTCAGACCATTCCTCTGTCTACTCGCCACTCGCTCTCAGCTCTGCCTTCGGATGAGTCCGTAGAGCCGAGTGGCCCGTACCCAGAGCTTGTTGGCTGCCTCATGTACCTAATGACCTGCACTCGACCTGACCTTGCATACCCTCTTAGCATCTTGGCACGCTATGTTGCTCCTTGGAGACACCGACCAGAGCACATGGCTGCAACGAAGAGGGTGTTGCGCTACTTGTGCAGTACGTCGGGCATGGGGCTAGTGCTTGGAGGGCGGCGTTCAGTGGTCCTCACAGGTCACGCAGACGCTTCTTGGGCTGACGACCAGGCTACGCAGCGGTCGTCACAGGGTTACACCTTCAGCCTTGGTTCCGGCTCTGTTTCGTGGCGGTCTACCCGCTCGTCTTCTGTTATCGGCTCCAGCTGTGAGGCTGAGATCTACGCGGGGGCCATGGCTGCACAGGAGCTACGCTGGCTCACCTACCTGCTGACTGACCTAGGAGAGCCGCCTCGTTCTCCTCCAGTTCTGTACGTAGACAACAAGGCCATGCTGGCCTTGTGTCGGGAGCACAGACTGGAGCACAGAACGAAGCACATTGCTCTTCGCTACTTCCTTGCTCGTGAGCTGCAGCAGCGTGGTCAGCTGCGCCTTGCTTACGTGGCCTCTCAGGCCAACACTGCTGATATCTTTACCAAGGCACTTCCGCCTTGTGATTATCAGCGCTGCTGTACTATGCTAGGTCTTGTGCCTACTTGGCCTCACTTGCTCACTTCTTGACCTTGCTTGTACTGTGATCTATCTATACCTGCACTTGCTTGTTTACCTTTATATATAATCCTGTATGTGAACTGGCCTTGTGGCCTTGAACTGGTGCTCGGAATGTGTGGTGACATTGTGATCCACCCTGAGCTTGCTTTGCTTGACTGGTCTTGTGACCCCTAGTTCTCCCCCACTTTGCCTATGGGGGTGTGTCAGATATATATGACATAGTGTTTGTAGGCTCTAGTGGGGTAGACACTAAGGGGTAGAAGTTTCTAGGGTTTCATATTTGTATCACACACTTTCCTAGTTCATTCATTCCCCATTATTTCTCACTAAGGCGGCTTTGATGTTATATGTTTGCATGTAATTGAACTTCGATGGAATGCATCTATGTTAAATCCTTTGCAATGAATGGCGTAATAGCAGAAGTTGAAGCATTAAACCATGTCACAATATTCACTGCTCTCTAAGGCAGGAACTAACCTGGGTTTGCGGCTCCACGTCGGGCACCACGCTGCTGACCCTGAGATGATGGGCCTGAGGTCTCACGGTCGTTGGTGCCGGGCACAGCGGCGTATGCAGGGACGTCTACGTTGGCGACGCCTCCTCCATCCAGTGCGTGGGCCTTGGCCTTAGCCGAGTGTTTCTTCAGATTGTACACGTATTTCCCCCCACGGCTTCTTCTTGATTGCTTTCCCGCCGCTCTGCCCCTCCCCACGCTTCGTTTTCAGGTACTTCTTCTCAAGGAGTTTCCACGCGTTCGACATCTGCCCCTCATCGCGGTTCCAATCGGCATCCCCTTCGACTATGCGCGCACGCAGTTTCTTCCAGTACTGGCTCCCTTGTTTGCCCTGCATCGCTTTCAGGTCGTCCTTTGTGTTCCAACGGGCGGCCGCGAGTGATGTCAGCTCAGCGTCCGACCACTGCCGCTTGTTGCGCGGTGCTGGCGGGCGCTTCTCCTTCTTCGACGCGCGAGTGCTGCGGTCGTCGCAGCTTCCCTCTTCGCCTCCGTCTGTATCTTCGTCGTCGTCGTCACTACCCTCCTTGTAGTTGTCGGAATCGGCATCACTGTCCGATTCCGACACGATCTCCTCGAGATCGTCGTCGCTGACGTCCGTGTCGGCGCTTTCTTCGTAGTCACGCCGCGATCCTCCTCTAGTAGAGGCGCCAGCAGAGTCGTGCTTTGCCTTTGCAATACGCTTGATGGAAGGGGACAGCTTCCCCTGCTTTTTCTGCTCCTTCATCCATGCGACGTACGGTGGGTCTTCCATCGGTTCATCGTCACTAACTTTTTCTTTCCCCTTGCCGCGAATGCTTCGGCGTGGTGGCATGGCTCTACTATTGAGTCGTGCTAGGCGTAGGTTGCTACCTTGGATATGTGGCACGCTTGTGTGTTAGATCTGGTTGCTCACTTTGTTTGTAAGGTTCACCTTTCTGAAACCCTTGCGTGGGGAGATTGCAGTAGGGGTGTGTGGTCGGGTAGGGTTGTGGAACCGCGCAGCTCTGAATGTAACTTTTCCCGCCGGGAATGTTGCCGGTGATGTGGGTGGGGTGAGTGTAGCAGGGGCCATTGGAAGAGTTGGTGTGTGGTGGGATGGCAGGGCTCAATCGGATGCGAATGTTGTGGGGACCCGCATTTTAGGCCGGAAAACGCCCGCGCCAATTTGTGGGTCGCACGGTGTTGTTGAACCCGAAGTGGTGTTTTGTGTAGTTCCGGGCACCCGCAATTCGCGCATGCCCGGAACAGTGCTCATGACCGGAACCAGAGATATGCCATTAGTGGTTCACTTTGCCACACAGGCTGGCGAATGTGATGTCAACGGCCCTGCCAAGGCGTGGAGGAAGCAGACGCCCCTATTTTGGGGTTTCCGTCAGGGTACACTTGATGCCCAACTTATGGCGAAAGGCCACGAAAAAGGTGTTTTCCTTTCACTTGTCCATCAGCTCAGCACAGATTGTAACGAGTACAGTGGAATCATCTGCAAAAGTGTATCGCATGGAAGCCTCGATCAGCTTTCTGCGACGGTCATGGGAATTGACATCTGCCGTGCCGTGCAGAGCTGACGCAGGAAAGTTGAGGTTGGCGGAGCGAGACCAATCAGAGCACTTTGCCACGCCACACTCGAACTAATCTTTCGCCATGTCACTGTCGCCGAGCAACTGACAGATTCACAGAGCCGAAAATGACCTCCCGCGAAGGCTCGGGCCTTGTTTTGTGGTCCCTTAACTCAGAGTTCACTGGGTTCGTGGTGGCTTCATCAACTCAACCCTCACGCGTGTGAACGTTACAATCACACCGTGCCAGCTAACTCAAAGTTAGCAAATAAGGGTTCCAAATACGCAAAGTTATAACTCAGAGTACGCTTCGTAGGAAGGATACACTGAATCTTCTTTTACGGGCAAATTAACTCAGAGTTAGTGCTTTCCCTTACTCGGGCTTTTGGGTGAAAGTTGGCTGCACGACTCTGAGTGCAGCTCGAGAGGAGTTACCTCAACAATGCCCACATTTGGTTCTTTCCAACTAGTCCCCATGCTGTGCTGCGTGAAGTTGAATTATTTTGCCTCATGGTCACCCTTTCGCACATTTTTTTTCGGAAGGGGCGGCACTTCGGGTTGAGTCTAATTTGTTTGAACCAGAACAACTTCGAGAACGCCCCTGGAACTTCCTTAACTCTGAGTTACGAGGCCACAGAACACCAATGTGAGTTACAACTCAAACACTCACACGAGCGTAATGATTAATTGTCGGTGTACTCACCCAAACCTACACGGCACGGTAACTCAGAGTTAGCTAACTCTGAGTTAGCGCCACAGAACAAGCCTCTGTGCACCCTTCGCTGACCTTCGTCCGTTGCTTCCGTCGACAACGATAGCCTCGACGATGACGACCACCAGGCGACCGCTGTGGACTCAAACGACATAGCAGAACGAATCGCTAATTGGCAGTAGGAGTGGCCTGCGATTCGCCCAACCACGGCGACTGTCTTGGCATTGGCGGACGGAGGGAATGGAAGGCGCGAGCGTGAGCCAGAAGCAACCAGTCCATCCGGGCCCTGGTGGAACCAATTCCACCAGGTCCCCCTCCTGGTGGAAAGGGGTTTTCACCAGGGCCGCACGCGGATGCCTGGTGTGTCGCGACCCCCAGCTGGGAATTGCACGCGAGAGGGAGTTGCCCGCCCGCATGCAGGTCCCTAGCGAGATCCGGGCGGCGGAGCAAGCTGGCGGGGTGGTCCCGCGCCGAGCCCGGGCCACGCCAGCGCCACGCAGCGTGGTCCCAACCCCGCCCCCCCCCCCCCCCCGTGCCCAGCCCTGGCTCGCGAAACCCCTCGCGAAACCCCTCGCTCTCCAATCCGAGGGCGAGGGCCGAACCCCAGCGCGCCGAAACGGATCCGGCCAATCGGAGCCGTTTCCGATGGGCTTGTGGCCCGGGCAGGGGCCCAGCGAAACAATTCGCACACCTGGCCGCTCGTGCGAAGCGTCGCCTGTGCGCGCCGGACCGAATCCGGCCAATCGGTAACGGAATCTTCCGGATCCCTGGTTCGCAAGCCCACCCCGAAATACTCTTCGCGCGTGCGAAGGTAGCCAGTGTTCGCCCACAAATCATCCGCAATTCAGGAGAGTGTTCACCCAACGTACTGTTGTTACACTTTTTTTATTATTCGCAAATCGTAAACGCGATTGAACGGTATATATAGTCCTTCACGAGACTTTTCCCATAAGATCAACCAACCCCCCTTACTTATTCTGCGAATTAGAATCCCCCACACATTTTGTTTGTTTTTTTTTTTTACGCGTGGTGCGTTTTGCCAAGTCAATTAAACGCGATTTACATTTTTTTTCACTCGTGTACTGTATTATTCGTCTGTGTAAAAAGTGGTAGTTTCGGATCGTTACCCAGCTTTTTGGCGGACGCGTCGAGGAATACACCCCGCTCGAGGTGGTAACCGTCGCCCCTTGCATGCAGTCCGCGGTCGGAGTGCTACATGGCGGGACGTGGTTCCACCCGCATGCATGAACGGGAACGCACCCACCTCGGGATGTCCGAAGGGGTGCGCGGGTTCCTCCCCACCAGGCGCAGTGCCACCCCCTGCCTGTTGCTCGCGCTGCCCCCATCCAGGATGCGTCCCGTCCTCTATTAGGCTTTTGCAACAGGGTTTCACGTGCTCATTTTCCAGTTCTCACTTTGGTTCCCTTCTTTTTGTCATCCTGCTAGTCCTCTCCGCCTACTTCTCGGTGCGAGCGCTTTTTCGAGCGGTAGTGTTTGTGGTCGCGTTCGCGTTTAGGTAGAGGCCCAAAACTCGTAGGGGTATCCGTGTGGTTCGCGTGCACGCTTCCCCTCGTTTGCTCGCGTTTTCCCCCCGCCATGGCCGGTCGCGAACTGAAGGCGCTGTTGAACAGTGGCGAGCAGGGCGCTACTTACACTGCTATGATATCGATCGCTGGCGCCACTGTGGATCTCCCCCCCGAGCAGAGGAAGTGCTTCTCCGATGATAAGCACCCTTTCAGAGCGACCTCCTTCGACTTTCTCGCCTGGTAAGTCTACCTTGGGATGGATGGCTTGTTTAGGACGCCTTATGGGGTCGCATCGCGGCTTTGTACGGCTTGTTTAGAACGTCCACATGCGGGAGATGCGGTCGCGTGCATCGCGTTCGCGTTACCAATTCGCCTGCAAAGTTTCCGTCCGAGCCATCTTCTGTTCGCGTTACCGTTGATGCCCTTCGGGTTCGTTTCCACATATATCGCGACAACTGTTCCATGTACTGGCTTGTATAGTTACGCCCGCATAACAACCTGGCCGCGATGTTTTTGTGGCCATATGTTCTTACGTTTCCCGCACAGCGTGGTAGTTCGGAAGTGCGTGTCCCCGTCGCTCCAGGAGGCGATACAGGTGGTGCCCTCCAATGTTGTCGCGGATATCGTCGCGGGTGGTGAGGACGCGCACGTGGCGATTGACCGTTTACTTGGATGTAAGCTGGTCGCGTTCTGCATCTGGACCGGGTGAGTACAGCGGGACTAGTCGTAGGCTGGTTGTGTTTTGCGCACGTGTTTGCCGATAAGTGCTGATGCGAGTCGCCTTGTGTCATATTATCATGTCAGGGAAATGAGTGACAAGAAGGCCTCAAACGCGGGCATGTTGTTGCTTTTGCGACCGGACCACCTGGGGCTTGACGCGACTTCACCCTGGAAAACTCGCTTTGTCCGCGTTTGTCACCCCACTGCCGCGGCCGAGCATCTTACCGCGATAGACAAGATTGTCAAGTAAGTCTGTACCAGCGGTGCTATCCTAAACCCTTCGGTTGCGGCTACTATACTTCCATGTCTGAGAGATATCATGTGAACCGTGCAGGTGGTTTCACGGTCGCGTTTGCATCTGTCACGGGAGCTATTCGGTCCAGTGCGACCGTTCTGGGAAGCTGGGAGATCCGTCGCGCCTCGTGGACCTGGTGAGTATGTAGAATGTTCGCGTTTGTTGGTGGTCGCGTTTGTTAAGTCGCAGAGCCCTAACTCAACACGCCATCTTCACGGTTTCCTTTCAGGATATTTCTTCCTGGAAGGCCCCTTGCGGTCCACTCGCATGTGCGTACGCGTTCGACAGAGTTCTTAACGACCTTGACGCGGTTGTTGGACACGACCCTGCGCCTCGCATCGCCAAGCCAATTGCCAGGAGTCTGACCACATTGCGGCAGGATGCAAAACGCGCCGCGGAGGAGCTCGCGTTCAGGTCCAGGTGCGGTATCGCGGACGGCCATGGGTGGGATGCTCATGGCAATGAACGTTTGAGGTCGCACGAACAGCCGGCGGGATCACATGTTTCGGGTCGCGATGCAATCGCACTCAATACAGCGCTTGCCCTCGCGAACGCAGGGGAGGGGGAGCAGGGGATGCCGGACAAGGAGGAGGGCTCGAGCTCTGACCGCGACGAGGACGCCCCTGTGAACGCGACGCAGGGTCTAGGTGCCAAGAAGGCGCGGGAGGAGGCCGACGAGGCAGAGGGACAGGGTCGCGGACAGGACGAAGGGGACGATGCGGAGGATGACCAGCGCGGTGATTTGGAGCTGGAGTGTTCGGAAGAACTGGAGGGGGAAGAGGACGACGAAGAGGATGAGGAAGAGGAGGAAGAGGTGGAGGAAACCCTCGCGACCAACAATGCCGGGCGTGCGGCGAGCGCGGTCGTGGGTGCAGGGAAGAGTATTCGTGGTCTGCAGGCTATGCTCTCCCCCCGTCACGGTAGCGCGACCCCGTCTACAGAGTACGCGGGCAAGAGTCCGGTCGCGGGCAAGCGTAAACACTCGGAGCTGGTGAAGATGGATCCTGCGAAGCTGGCCGCGGAGATCCTCCGCTTGGACGAGCAGATGAAAAATCAGAAGCGCAAGCTGGACGAGGTCGTGTCCGCAAAGCCAGGCACAGAACACCCGGTGGTGATCACGCAGAGCTACGACGAGCTCGTGGCTACGGTGGAGAAGGCGCTGCTTCACGTGTAGAACACGGAACGGGTGATGCGCAGGGAAGCCAAGCTGGCCGCGAAGGACAGGGCGGAGAATCGCGACATGCGGGAGGTGCTGAAACGCGCTGCTGTCCGCTTGGAAGATTGCGCGGCTAGCATAAAGGGGGTGGTTGTGGACTCCATGGAGAACGCCCAGAAGAAGCTGACGGACGAGGTCGCCCGTAAGATCGACGGCGCGTCATCCAACATCGCGGGAACCGCCGAGAGAGCGATCACCACAAGCGGCGTCACCAACTCTCTCAACATCATCATCGCGATGCTTTCCGGGCGTGACGCACCGCGACTAGTCACCGATGGGCCGCAGGGGAAGGAGTCACACGAGGTCGCGGAGAAAGAGGCAGGGAAGAGGGTCGCGGAGAAAGAAACGGTGAAGAGGGAGACAGGGAAGAAGGCCGCGGACAAGGACACAGGTAAGAGGGTCGCGGACAAGGACACAGGGAAGGGTGAGAGCAGCAGGGGAGGGAAGCGGCAGAAAGGTCCCGTGGCGACTAGCGTCACAGATCTCCTTAAGATAGGGGGCGCGGTCGTCGTGCGTGCAGCGGGAACCGCCAGGGTGGATGCGGCTGCCGGACCACCGCTTGCCCCCTCGGCGGTTGAAGCTGCTAAAGGCAAGGACAAGGTCGAGGACGCCCTGCCAAACACCACCCCCACCACCACCGCCAACACGACCGCGATAGTGCCCGCGGCTGGTAACACCTCCGCGGTCGCTGATGGACAGCCTGGACCCAGCTCCATCGCCCCTGCAATCCCCCCCTCTGCATATGTGAAGGCGAAGAATCAGGGCCGCGGTGGTTGTAAGCCGCCTCCGGCCGCGTTGAAGGCGGAACACGAGGACGACGACGACTCAGACGAGAATGATGTTGTTGAGCTGGTGTGGCAGAGGTTCATGGGGCCAAGCGACACCAGCGGCACTAGCGGCAAGCGCAAGGGCTGTGGTATCCGCCCTCCGCCCAGGGGTGGAGAGGGGATGGTGGGCGAACCATGGCTGGGGGGGAGGCGTCGCTGGCTGGGACATCACTCACTCCAGGAGGTGCAATACCTGACCGCGATCGCGGTCATGTGTTACGACAAGAAGATTGACCCCGGCCTCAAGCTGACTGCGCAGCAGAGGAGTGAGTGGGCCGATGACATCTCCGCGGCCGGGACGATGTGCACCGGGCTATTCGCCACCATGCACCTCCGCAACCTTTGCGGCAATGTTGACAGGTACGGTCGTGTGTTCAGTTATTTGTGCACACGGGTTCACAGGATCGCGGTCACGTTCGCGACTAACCATGTCCCGTGTTTTCCCCCTGCTTGCAGGTACCACCACATGTTCAAGGCCTACCGCGACTTCACCCGTCCCGGTTCCACCCTCGGTAACGCGGTCGCTTGGGCAGCCGCGGTGGAAAAGGAGGCTGCAGACGAGGAGCCCGATGTCACCGGGGACCAAGTGGGCCTGTTTGCTGGCGCGGTCGCGTGCGCCATAGCCATGGTGTGGGAGACCTGCAACGGTCTCGATCTCGAGGGGGTCACGGATGCTGGATACGTCGCGGCGCAGTGTGCCGGCACTCCAGAAGAGAAGGCCCGTGGTCACGTATCGATTGTGACCGCGGTATTCAAGTGGGCCAAGAAGGAGAGTGCTCGCAAACAAGCACCCGAGGTCACACCGAAACAGATCGCGGAGAAGATAGAGACCGCTGTGGTGAACCGCCTTGGTGCGTGACTTGGGGACCCCACATTGGTTGGTATGGTCGCGCACGAGGCAGTAGATGTGCTGATGACCTGGTGCGACTGCAAGATCGCGGCCAAGGCGATGGAGACCAACGGTCTCTATCTTGCACTGCCAGACAAGCGTCTGTCCGCGAAGAAGAGGTCCGCGTGAATGGGGTGGTAGTGGTTGTGAACTGTGGGTTCTAGGGACACTTGTTTGTGTTGTTTGTGATAGTATAGGTAGCTTGCCCACCCTGCTTGAGATTTTCTCGCGGTGGTCATATTGTCTATGCTGTGTGCTCCTTTGTCATGCAACTCTCTTGCTCGATCGCGACCGGCGTTTCACGTAATCCTCGGCACTTTTTGAACTGAGATTTCGCGAACAAGGTCAAATGCATGGTTGAGCCACCAATACTTGAGCGATACATGCTATCGGTTGAGCCAACAGTACTACACACACTATTCGAACGCGTTACAATGAGCAGTTTACGTCTGCTCTGTAACGCAATCGGAACATTCGGAAGCCTCCATTGCGACACACGGTATATTCTCATGAAACACAAACACAATCGCGGTCTACTAAACATGTCCCGAACGCGATCAACATCTGATCTTACCCCCCCACTAATCTAGGCGTGGCATCTGGGCACAATGCTGTGGCCACGCGACCGGAAACTCTGACGCGAGAAGGGAGGCATCGATGAAGTGGTCGCGTACAAGCATCCATTTCACACACAACTGCACCTCAGCTGGGGAGCCCTTCTTCAGCTCGCTTAGGGTCACGTCAACACACTTCTTCTTCAACGCGACCCCTTCCGATACACCCGACATGCCCACGGCTACAGACACGAGGTCGAGCTTGTCGAGCACGACCGCGAGGTTGTCCCCTTGCTCCACCCTGTGGGCGATGAAGTCCATGACTCGCTTGACACGGTTTATCGCGTTCTGGCCGCCTCCAGCCTTCCCAATAAGCTCGGCCAACCGCGTAACTGCACCGTGGGGCTGGGCGATAAGCGACTCCGGACTCTCGCCGATCAGCGGGTGCGTGGACTTGTAAAGCTTCCATCCGTCCGACGGTTTTGCCGCGTTGACCCATGGGAGGACGATCGCGTCCCGAATCGTCTCTTCCCTCGTGGGCTGTGCGGGTTTCTTCCTCGTTCCCTGGTCAGTGGGAGTTGTGGCCTCTGCAGGCTCGGCCGCGGCACAAGGAGTGTCTGCCAGACTCGGATCCGCGGTCGGCCCAGAGCTGCTCACGGTGAGACGCGACAGCTGGGCCTCCAAATCATTCACGCGCTCGTCCTTGCTGGCCAGCTTCCGATCGCGATCCTCCAGCAGCCCCTCCAGCTCTTTCACCCGTTTATGAGTCGCGACCAACTCTAGGCCCAGTCTGGTGTTGTCCGCTTGTGAACGAGTCAGGTACTCAGTGAGGACGGTCACTTGGTTCTGCGCGTCCATTCTGGTACTCACCTCCTGCATGGACAGAAAGCGACCGCGAACTTGTTATGGTTTGGCATTGACATCACATCCGGAAAGATAACGCGACCATGCAGTACTTACCGCGGGCTGGGTCAGTGTAGGCGCGTTGCGCTGAACTATGGCGAGCTGATTTGCCAAGGAGACATCTGCAGCCCACGACGCAAATTCCTCCGTCTGGCAGAGCGGGTTGTTGACCACGTACGGGTGTCGCGGCTGGTGAATGTAGTACATGGCCAGGTCTTGCGCGACCGCCATCCTAGCCTCCCCGTCCAGCTCCTTCAGTATGTTAAGCCCCGCGGTGTCCTGCTTCTCCGGTGTCTGCTTTTTGACCATCTTGCGGTTGTACTTTTTGCACTGTGACAAGGAAACAACGCGGTAGTGAACGCGGTGCCAGAGGGTTATGTGGGATGCTCGCGGTCGCGTATGCGCGGCCCACACATACCTGTTGCTGTCCTTTGTCCGCGGCGGCCCAGGGGAAAATGTGCTTCCTCGGTAGCTCATCCAGCTTATCGCTGACCGGAACAGTTGCGCGACCCAGGAAGTAGTCACCGTCAACCCCGGTGAAGCCCGCCTTCAGCAGCACGGCCTCCCTCGGAATGGTTGTGAGGTAGTGCTTAGTCATCACGTCGATGAAGCGCCAACCCCCCAGCCTCGCCAGCTGATCCGAAGGCATTCCGTCCGCGGACGCGTGCTGTGCCCCCCCAGCCCTGGTCGCGTGTACTGCACGCGAGCATGTGATTCCCGCGTCCTGGAGAATCTTCGCCGCCCAGTCGTGATGAGTCGTGGGCGGTATTTGCTTCTCGTTGCCCGCGCGAAGGGGGAAGAACAGGTATTGATCGTACCACGTGTCGTGATGAGTCGTGGGCGGTATTTGCTTCTCGTTGCCCGCGCGAAAGGGGAAGAACAGGTATTGATCGTACCACGTCGAGGGTTCCGTGAAGTCAAGAGGATGGGAACCAAGTCGTACACCCAGTGCAGCCACAGCAGCGTGGCTCCGACCGCGCACAGCGTCCAATCTATGTGCCTCACAGCAGATATGTAGTTGAGGGAAAAGTCCTTGTTTGTCTTGCCCGTCCTGCACGCGCAGACAAACATGAACGCGTTCCTCACTGGATCGGTCTCGGATTTTGCGCCGAGCTTCCACATCATCATGTCCGGAAGCTGCAGGTTTCTGATCGTGCACCCGCGGGCCAGAGTGTGATGACCGAGCACGGTCATCGTCCGGATGCAAAGGTCGCGATGCATTGCCTGCGTGTATGCTTTCTTGGCTAGTGTGAAGCTGGTCAAGATCGCGTCCATGCTGGTCTTCCGCATCATATGCTTGAACTCGTCCGGGGTGTACGTGTCCGCGGCCGTGCCCCGATGGCGATCCATGTGTTCCCTGCGCATCAATTTGGACGATAGTGCGGGTGTTAGTGGACGCGGTATTGTTGGGCATTAAACGCGTTCACTGAGTACGTATACTTACGCGATAAACCGCTTGTACTGGTCGCGTACTTGAACGCGGACCCAGATGCGACACTCTGAAAAGTCGCGCAGCAGGTTCAGAACGGGCTTCCTGAAGATGGCCCCATCCAGCTTGATGAGCAGGTTCAAAGCCTTGAGACGCCCCATCAGCATTGCCGGGGTGCACTGGCGTCTCTTCTTCAATGTCTTTTCTGGCCGCTTGAGTGTGGCCATCCTGTCCGTCTGTGCGACTGTCTCGTTCGCGAGGAAGGTCATGTATTTGCGTAAGCGCCATGGATTCGTCTCAGGGTCGTGGAACCACTGCTCGTCGCCCTCCGCCATCTTCCAGTCACCACCCATGTTCTGTTTGAGCGCGGCCCCTATCTCGTCGGGGTTCGCGTTTCTCAACGTGGCCTCCTCACCAAACCTACCCGCGTCCAGTTTAGGCAGCTCGTGAGCCATGAACCGCTTGTACTCGTTGGCCCAACCGCGATACTTCTTCAGCGTGGCCTCAGAGACACCGTATAGGATTCCGTAGCACATCTCTCGTTTCGCGGCCGGCGTGTCGTCCACACCAAGCCTGTTCCAATCCGCGATAGGGACCTCAATGTCCCTCCGCGTACCCCGCACCCGTTCGTTGTCTTCCGCCTCCTCCTCGTTGAGCGCGGACAGCGAGTTTGATAGGTAGTTTTCGTCATCGTCATTCCAACTATCGTCCGCATCGTCAGCGTCGTCCTCGTCATCCTCATCGCTTGCCCCCTCGCTCCCCTCCCGGGAGCCGTTGCGTGCCGTGTGCGGCACGACATCGACTCGCCGCCTCCTTATACGCGGTCTATTAACTGGCCCGTTACCGGTACCGCCGTTCGCGTTAACACCGTTACCCCTGCCGCCGTTACCTGTCACCCCATGCGCTCCCTGCCCGTTCGCACTATCCCCGTTCGATCCCACACCTGTCCCACGTCCCGCGCTCGCTCTCCCACCCCTTCCTCTCGCACCTCTCCCTCTAGCCGCGTTCCCTCTCTCCCCTGTCCCTCTTCCCGCATTCCCTCTCGCACCAGTCCCTCTTCCCGCATTCCCTCTCCCACCAGTCCCTCTTCCCCTTCCCGCGTTTCCTCTTGCACCCGCTCCACGGCCCGCGTTCCCCGCGTTCGCCTGTGGTTGCCCACCTACACCAGTCCCGTCCGCTACAGACGGATGCGCGGGGGTGCGGATGTGGACGTCGGGGTTTCCGGGCAACAGTGAGTTCATGTTCCATATTGGCGGCGAATGTGCACGCGCGCTTGCATTCATCCCCGCTCCACCATTCAACGCACGCCCTAAACCACCGGCAAGCACGTTCGATGATGGGCCGTCTGTTCGCGCCCGTGTGTCCAAACCGACAACCAATGCTTCGCTAGGGTCTGGCGGGGCTTGCACCGTTGGCTGGCTTTCCGGATGGATCACGCTGGGGAATGGTGTTGACGGCGCGACAGGAGGCGTCGCGACAGATGCGGGAGCGTGCACCATGGGGTCTGGTTGAACGCCGATGTACCCGTACCTGAATCCCACGTTCGCGTACTGCGGCCCTACGAAGCCACGCACAGGCATCCCGAAGAGCTAGCTAGTGGGCACGGACGGGGACGCGATGTGTTGTCCAACAACATGAGGTCCGGGATGAGGCGTGGATACTCCTTGCGCGGTAACATCATCCTGTTGATTTTGAAACGCGACCGTCGCTGCCGCAAACGGTATTTGTGGCCGCGGTGCTAGGTGGAGCCCGTTCACCAGTTGCTGTGGGTGGAACGCGGGAATCCGTGACCCAAAAACCACAAGCTGCACGTATGGGGTGCACCATGTGGGGTTGAGCGCGTTCACCCCATGCACGGGAGCGGTAGGCGGTTCGGCATTATGGATTTGCTGCGCGGTTGTGTTGCCCGGAGCATTGATGGAGTCGTGAAGTATTGGCGCCGCGACGCGATTCACGGTATGCATGCAGCGTGCGAGATTGCCCCTACTCCTATTCAGCGCGTGCGTCAATATGATGCGCGGTCACTACATGTACACCCGGGTGTGACTTAGACCCATTTACATCGCGACCGTTGTGCTCGCGGACATTCGAGCGCGGCACACAACGTAACCGCGATACTGGTGTCCCGTTGTCCGTCTAAGTCAGGTGAATCCAGTGGGTCATGAGTGCGAAGAGATTGGTGTGCAACTGGCGATCGTAATGCGAAAATGTGGGCATGCTAGGAGTAATGACTGGACACTGCGTGGACGTGCTTGACACGTTACCGCGATCGCACATCGACCAAACAGCGACAGCTGTGTGGCTCGTTCAAATTGCTGCACGTGTCAGCCAGCATAGAGCCTACCAGATCGGGCCAGCTGTATCCGAACCGAATCTCGCTGTGCGCTTACCGAACCTATCCTTGTGCGAAATTTGTTCGCGATAAGTTGCGAGATAGCACAACCAGTAGTAGCACTCCTTTGGTTTCGCGTACGCGCAGTTGCATGCGCGGAATGTCCCGCTTGTCAATGTTACCGACCAATCGCGTTCGTTTTCTACCGAGTCGCGCATGCATCGGCGCGTAAGAACAAGATGGGTTCTTTCGGTTTTTTGGGGGGCACGGAGCTTTCGGTGGCAGCCTGGTGGGTTTCACTGCGCCACGCAGGGCCGCGCTAGGTCCAAACCTGGTGTGATCCTGGGTGGCCGACTTCGCCCCACGCTTCGCGCGATATCTCCGCGCCCCGTACATCCCCAGGCGTGGGCGGGGTTTTTCCTGAGCCGCGCCGTATGAACATCCCAGTCCATACAGGTGCTCGAGCGCGGGAACGCTCCAACTCCCCGTGTTGGAGGAAACCTGTTGGAGGAATGAGCTGGCAAGCTGACCGCGGGCAAAAAAAAACTAAAACCCATCCGGAACGGCATCCCGTTCGGGAGCCTCAACCCTAAAATTTTAGGGTTTTGGCTCCCGAACGACATGCCCTCCATGTGGGGTTTATTTTTTTCCTTGCCCGCGGTCAGCTTGCCAGCTCATTCGACTGCCAGCTGACGCTGGCAGTCGAATGAACCTTTCAGAAGGATCGCGTCGCGACTTGAGTGAGTCGAGGCGGCATGTTCTGGAACAACCGAGGATTCTCGCCGTCACAATCACGCCAATCTTTGACGCTCCACCCATCGTTGGCCGCTCTACAAATATGCAGGAATCCCTGAGTCCAGCACAAATACCTGATATCCCAAGTACGCATCTGGTTGTTTCATAGCACTCGCTGCTCGAACTCCCAGTACTAAATCGTCTGCGCCAGCTTACTAATACTTACAATCGCGACTGTACTTTCAAATATTGGGCACCGTAGTCGTTAGCACCCACTTCCTTTAAGCAGCTCTTTTCGAAACGATAAGCCACAATGGCCTACTTCTCTCTGCAAGCACCGACAAGCCACAGCAGCGTGCGGGAAACTCGCAAGTCTCATACCGTAATGTCGCAGAGAAAGCAGCAACAGCAGTCCGACGCCTCGTCGCAGCTTGAAGCGCAGATGCAATGGGTCGTCCAAGCCCAAGATCTTTGCTCATCGCCCATGTCGCCGACGTCGCCCTTGTCGCCGTGGTCACATAATCAGGTCCTTCCGATTCAAACAGCGCGCCTCGAAACGTTCTTTTCGTTGGACTCTCACGTCTTAGGATCCGGTCAGTTCGGGACCGTGCGGCGCTGCAACGAGTGGCTCACAGGCGCGCGCTTTCGCGTGCAAGACGATCTCAAAGGACAGGCTTAGAAGCGAGGCGGAGCGGGAGGAGGTGCGGCGGGAAGTTGCGCTGATGCAGCAGGTTGGCGCAAGCGGAGCGGGGGAGGCGGGGGAGGCGCAGGGAATGGCGCATCCCGGGGTGGTACAGTTGCGCGGAGTTTTCGAGGACGAGCATTCAGTGCATTTAGTCATGGATCTGTGCGAAGGCGGCGAACTGTTCGACGAAGTCGTGCGACGCGGGCGACTGAGCGAACGCGACGATGCAAACGTGTTCGCGCAGGTCGCATCGGCAGTCGCACACTGCCACGCGCGAGGCGTCCTCCACCGCGATCTCAAGCCCGAAAACATCCTGCTCACGCACGACCCCTCCGCACCGTTCTCCACCGCACCGCTAACCACAAAACTCGCGGATTTCGGCCTCGCGGTTCCCCTGCAATCAGGCGATCGCGCAATGGGCGTCGCGGGATCTCCGTTCTACATGGCGCCTGAAGTTCTCCTCGGCGAATACGCTTTAGAAGCCGACGTCTGGTCCCTGGGCGTGATCCTGTACATCTTGCTCTGCGGCGCGCCGCCTTTCTGGGGCCCGACAGATAAAGATGTGTTTGTGGAGGTGCTTAAAGGTGTAGTGGATTTTAGTGGCGAGGAGTGGGCGGGAGTGTCGGAGGAAGCAAAGCGGCTCGTGCTGTGCCTGCTGCAGAGGGATCCCCAGCGACGCCCCACTGCCGCGCAGATTCTTTCCCATCCCTGGATCCTCCGGCATTGCCAAACCAGCGTGGTAGGTTCAGAGACAGGCTCAGTAGCAGGTTCGGGTTACCCGTTGGCTCTGGGTGTAGGTTCGGATTTGAGGGCAGGCGTGGAAGCAGCTTCTGCGATGGTGGTGTGACATCAGATGTGGTATTTATTCTTGTTCTCCAGGTGTGCATTTGTTGCCGGACTTCCTCCCACCTCACTGATGTTTTGCTTGGCCTGGCAATCACCCTAAGCCTGCCTGCTAAGCATGCTAGTGTACAGCTTTGGAGGCTTGCCTAAGTGGCTCGTTGACCTGCTTAGCTGCTGCTTCTGTAAAAACTCCCACAGCTACTAGTTCTATCATGTTCAAATACCCTAAACAATATTGGTTTTTTATTAGATGGGTTATTCAAGTTCAGAGGTCGACCCTTATCTCGGAAGCAAGAACTCGGAGTGAGAATCGAAAGCAGGAGCGCATGGAGTACGGTATAAAAGAACAGCACATGAACAGTTACACCAATCATGAATGGCCTAGCCAGACACAGAATAAGCATCACTGCTGTTCTCTTAGAACTGATTTTACTCTGCTGCACTGTCAATACACTGAGTTCACATGCAACTCATGGCCACTCCACCCATCCCTGTATTCTTTGCTTTGAAAGGTCCCCAGAGCCCAGCACAGCCACTTGTACCGTGGTATCACCATAAAGGAGCAGCTCTTCTCTCTCTACGTTTCGGACTCTTCCATACCAGTGCCACCACCTACGTAGTCAGCTCAGTGCTACGGGGCATTCAGCAGCGCCATGCGGGCCCACATTGCACAGCACACGGACGTCATAGTGCTGCTGAGCTGAGAGCAGTCACTCGTGGTATCGTTACCAAGGAGCAGCTCTGCTTTGTTCAACTCTGCAACCACCACCCACCACGCCTGCCTGCAAGCAGCGCTAAGCAAGGTCCACATTGCAGCACCACAGACGTCATGGAGCTGCAGCCACTTGTGTGTACATGAAGGAACTGCTCTGCTTTCCTCATTTCCGCAGCCACCGCCAACACCATGCCTACAATCACCATCCCTACCATCATCACTAGGTGGGGTCCACATTGCGCAGCACCACGGACGTCATCGAGCTGCCCAGCGCCGCCACTTGTATCGAAGCTGGGACATCAGAGTAGCTCTGGGTGGCCACCAGCGTGTTGTTCTCCGTCGCTGACGTGCGATACGTCTCCAACACGCACTCCTGACCCGCGTCAAACGGCTCAAACTCCTCGAATTGAAACGTCGCAGTGTGCGGGGTGTCGCGCTGGTTGACGATGAAGATGGACACAGAGTGCTGGTCGGGATGGAAGAAGGCCGCAATGCAGTGCTGACAACCGCCGGACGTGTCGATTCGCAGAGGAAGGCTTCCTCGCGGCGCCCCGCGCACAAACTGCTGCAGCATGTAGAGCTTCTTGGAAATCACCAGATCCAACGGCTTGACTTCCGTGTCGTTCAGCCGGTAGATCCTGATCGCCAAAAGCCCCCATTTCAGGAACGCGTCTGGGTTAGTAGCCACCCCACTCACTGCCTGCCAGAAAATCCAAGCGGAAGCCCCCATGATGTTCACAGCCTGCACTATCTGCCGTGCTGTGAACAGCATCACACCCACATCATTGCCGACCACCCACATCGGCCCCACCTCCGACATCCACACCTCCTTGCCAAGCCCGGTCGCCATGCGGTGCATTCCCACCATCACGCCTTCCATGTACCGCCGTGTATCCGTCGTGTTGGGCGGCGGCGGAATGTACCCGTGCAC